CCTAGAGTTTCCAAATATGCCATGATACTTTGCAATTTTATCTCTTTGCATATATTGTTCCTCAAGTGATAACTTTTTCCCCATTTTTATCTTGTTTAACAGTCACTGCTCTTCAAAACTTAACTCAAACATAATGTCTTAAAAGAATTCTGTCATCACCTCTATCTAAATATCAACTAAGGATTGTATGCTCTTCACAGCATGTTCCTGATGTCTCAGGCATTAATAGAACATATAGTCTCATTGATGAATCCCCATAGTAATGAAATTTCCAAACTGCATGTTGGGATGCATTTTTTTAATAAAGATTTGTTATCAGTTCAAACTTATTTACATGAAAATACATACATATTAAATAGTAAAATGTAATCATATTTAATTTATCCACACATGATGTCATGACTTCGTTGAAAATAAAAATTAATCCCACTCTTCCTAACATATTAAAGATTTTAGTAGCTAGACCCCTCTCATGTTTGTTTTGTTTGTTAACGTTTATCTTGATGATCATATTGATCACTCTGGCCTCTCATTTATTTGCTTTTTGCAGCTTTGATAACTTTCCTTTTTCCTTCTTCCTGCTCATGCTGCCACACCCTTTCCTCCACATTTTTTTCCTCTGCAATCAGTAGCTTTTGCATTCCATTTTGAAATACAACATATTCTGCTTTCAGCTATTTCCCCTATTTATTCTCTTTACACCTCTTCTTTGATATAACTGGGGCCTCCAATCCATTGTCCTGCTAGGTCTTCTTCTCTTCCATCCAGTGTTGGTTTAATACTCCTCTATATGCAGTTTAGACTCCATGGCACCTCATTTGATTCCCCCACTAGCCAAATTCTTAACATTGCCACATTCCTCTGTTACCTGATTAAAGTCGACTTTGGATACTTCCATGTGTTCTTATGCCTTTATGCCAGGCATACTGATTGCGTTTGATAAGAAATTACAAAACTGGCCAGATGAATATGCATGTAGACCCATGAGCCCAGCCCTCGAGAGGCCCTTAACAGTGTCAGGCAATCTTATAATTTTCCCCTTACTCTACAATTTTGCTTGATGATTATTTCAAATACTATTCTCTATTGTATGGTATTCACTATGGCAATCCATGAGAAAGCAAGATTTGGTGCTAGTGGTTTGGGGAGAGTCTTTTCCACATACCTGTTGACTAAATACTTCACAGATTTGTTTTGAAGGTCTTTTCAGGCAGGTGGAATGGTATTGAGCATATTTTCTGCACACATTAATTGTCACCAGCCCAGGGACAGGCTTTCCGTATGTGTATCTATAACAGTAAAATGTGGTCACACAAAAAGATGTTTAATATCAATAATGCAAATGTTTCTTCACCTGATTTGGTGCATTCATACATCCACATTAATTGTCTAAACTAAAGCAGTTATA